AGCAGCATTTGAAAATAATTGTGGGCTGGCTGTAAGGACAAGGTCGAGGGTATGCGCGTGGTCGCCAGCATTGTCAGGGATACGGGTCGGGAAATCAACCAGTTGGTGGAGGCTGATCAATAGGGCAAATAATTCTGCCTCACGTCCAAGGGGCGATGTCCCTGAAGAGTGTAACAGTCGATCCCTGTTATGGACATTAAAATCACCCGAAATTGTGAACTAAGCGTTGGGGTCTGTTTTAACAATGCTATCTATGTTTGCCGATAAAACATCAAAGAGTGAAGGATCACTACTATTTGGGGAACGGTACGCAGTGCAGAGGTAGGGAACCGAAGTTTCAGCCAGAGTCTGGATTTCGCGGTTGGTGAAATTTAAGTGGGAGAACGGAGTAGAAATAATTGAATGCTGGATGAAAGCACAAACACCGGCTTTGGAAATGAACGAAGCGTGAAGGGAATAATTGCGAAACTGAAATGCGTGGTGTCTGTAGAAGCGGAAAATTGAGTTTCGGATAAAAATAGAGCAATAGGGGAAGTGGACTGAAGAAATTGATGTACAGAATCAATATTGTGGTTCAAGGCGCGAATGTTAGTGAGTGCGATTGTCGATTGAGAGTGCGCTTGAGAATTTTTCCTGTTTGTTGTAGTATTCATGTTGAGATGAGAGTAACCGGCAACTTAGCCCTGGAACTTGGAGTGGCGAACCACATAAGACCCCGATGGCTAGGCGGTGGTACTGACGCGGACGACAGCAGAACCGTCTACCACTGCTGCTCAAACATCGACAGGCTACAACGCCACCGACTTTGGTGGTTTGTGGCCACGTTTCGAAGACTCGACACTCAACTTTCGCGGCAGGGTGTACCCTCTGTACCATACCGTAGATGGCGTTCCCGACACGGTGGCCAACTGTAGACCTGAAGCAGTACGATCAAGGTGTACTGAGGATTACTGGGCCTCCAATCTGTATATGGAATTGGTGATGGGAACCTGAACTGGGTTTCACACTGCGCCACACTTGCTGCTGATCGTCACGCACAGAATGTCATCATTAGGGACATCCAAGAACTCGTCTTATTCTACTGGCTGAGGTGTTCGCCGAAGTAATCCGCCCAGCGACCAAGCCATTGTTCCCTATTGTGAATAGCTTGTCCCCATTTATTCCAGACTGTTCCGCTCACTAGAGTTGCTTCCCTTCCGGACGCTGATTGACCCCCGGAGACGCATTGCACATAAACGACTGTTGACAAGAATCCGATCAATAAGAGAGAACTCGGCCCTGCTACTGAGTACAATACCTACCCCTGAACGGGTTTCGTCGTCACCTGATGTGCAAAGAACGTATCTCGAGGACAAATCTGGCGCACTTGTTCACGAACTCATTACCAGCTGAAATAATATTTTTTGAGCACTGTCCTATTGCATGTCGTTTACTTTACGCGCCTCCAGTACTGGAGAAATGAAGTTAGAGCTATTTTAGGGGATTTAGTTACACTACGATTTCCTGTATATGAGAGCGAGGTTTAGCAAATTAATCAGTTGTCAATACACTAGTTAAGAGGCGATGCTTTCATCTTTGTTTCTACAATTGTGACCTAGATTGAAGTGCGGATTAATAATTAGATGAATAAACTGAAACTAAAAACGTTCTGACCCTTGAGTTGGTAAGCGCCACAAACAAATGACGTTTGAGAAGATAAACGGCTTACGGGTGCATTCCACATATTGTTTCAGTTGCCTCTTCTTAAATATCTAAACGACTCATTCAAATTCATGGGTTTTGACTTAAGTTTGGCACTTAGAGGTCTCCACACATAAATTCAGTTTTTACAACCATTAACCGTGCTTTTTCCTGTTTTGTTTGCTGTCTTTTGGTCGCCCATTTGGATAAAAGAGCAAAGTTAAGATTGGAATGTTGAAAGCGAATTCGAACGAAAGACAGAAAATCCATATAGATTGGTGTTAAGAGAATAATGAGTAGATGCATGAACGCCACTGTTTGCGACACCCAGCCATATCGCTCAGGGTCTCTAACCATCGGTGACCATGATCTCGGGGTCCCCAGCTTGGGAGCCTAACGGGACCTATGTGACCTGGTCTCCATTCAGGGTTTCCATGCCCTCATGCCAGGTCTTCGTTTGACCGCCCTTGACCTTTCTCCAACCGTTACCTTCCTCGGTCAACATCGCACACCGTGGCAACCTATTTAGTGACATACGCAACACATGCCCCAACCAACGTAATCTATGAAGGTCGACTACTTGCTCCAGTGGGTGACCGCGATTACCTAAAATTCTATGTCTAACCTCAGCATTGCTCGTTCGGTTACCCCACCAGACTCGTACAATGCGACAACGGTTCTCGAACACCGACAATCTAAGTTTATCCTACTCCCATAGTGGCCAAGTTTCTGCACCGTAGAACAGGACTAGTCGAACTTCTGCAGCATATACTCGACTCTTCACAGGCAGCCGGATGTTGCTTCGGTGCCATAGACGTCTCAAGTTGACAGACGACAACCGAGCCTTTTTCATGCGCGTCGACACTGTGATGTGTCTTCCATGTGAGATATAGCTTATATATACCCAGATGGCAAAACTTGTCTACTTCATCTACTACTTCACCAGTCAGGGTGACATTGGGGGCTAGATCAACCCAATCTTATAGCAACATTTTACACTTTGAAGGTGTAAAACGCATACCGATCATGGCTACACTAGCACTCAAACTATCCAGAAAAGCTTGCAGCTTACCTGGATCTTCGTCTGCATACTCTAGATCAGACAGTCTGTCACCTGGGAGCAAATCGATACCGCTATCCTCGCACGAGGATAGGGCTGTTTCAAGAAGTAAATCTGTGACAAAGTTAGATAGAAACGGGGAGAGAGGGCAACCCTGACGAACACCACTTTCCGTGATGACATCCGGTGAAAAGGTGCGGTACGCTCGGACTCGGCTTCGACTATTGGTATAAAGCGATTGTAATATTGAAAGAAACTTCTCGGACACACCCTTTAAAGCGAGACAGCGCCAGAGTTCAGAGCGGTCGATTGCGCCAAAAGCTGCTTTCAGATCGAGGAGAATAGAAATGGAGGGTTTAGGAAAGGAGTGTGTTCGTTAACTCCGGAACCAAGGCTGTACCTCCATCTTTGAAAACCGATGAAACCGATGGGGACATCCCGTCCGGGCCGGAAGCCTTATATCATTTGAGATAATTTATTTCCCGAAAAACCTCCATTTCATATGGAGGACAGATGTCAACTGGCAGTTGAAGCGGGTAGAGGGAGATCTTGTGTCGATAGTGGCCAGCTGAACTGTGCCTTAAAATGTTATGCCCAACTTTCAAAACGGCGTTGCTGAATATGAATCAGTATGCCGTCACACTCCTTAATTACTTCACGTACGCCTACTTTCCTTGGACCTATACTCCTAATTAAACCAGACGTTGAGTAGTTTCCTTAGGTGGAGAGCCTCTGCCTTTCAAGATTTTCTCGAAATTTCCTTTGCTTTCTTTATCACACAGTTTATGATGCTCAACAGTCTTAATAAATTCCATAGCCACGAAGACACTCGGAATAACCAAAGACCCCGGCCTTAGTGCCTGCAGTGAGCCCCAATGGGATGGGTGTGGCTTTGAATCGGACGACCACAAATCTGCCTACCAACTGGGGTGTCGGTGGCAGAATTCAAACCTTGGGGTCCGCAGCACGCCAGTAACGAGTAAAACCATGTAACCACCACGATGCAAGTACTAAGTGTTCATTCACTGCCACTAATCACTTCCAGAATGTCAGCTTTTACTTCTATTGTATTCTTTTTGATCTTTATCTTTCCCATCTAAGTGTTCTGGTAAGGAAAGACTCTTCTGTTCCATCCAGTACGTTTATTTGATGTTGCATTTTTGTGTGCAAATTATCTCGGTATGTTGATTCACCTTTTTAATCCTGTCAATATCCTTCAGTACCAACGAGATACCACCTGCCGAACTCGAACGATTTCAACGGGAATACTATGAATATTTACAAAACTTCTTCCTGACCAATGGTGGACCATCTGCAACATCTCCGAGTACCCCCGTGAATAACAGTTCTACTCCATTACCAGCTTCACAAAGTTAGTGTTACCCCCTGATTTACATTCTATTTTACGTCATTTGCGAAAATTTTATAATTATACTTACAATTTGATTTACCTCTAGAAGTTCATTGCATTCGATAGAAATACTTCTCACATTTTTTATTACACGCTAATGTTTGATGAACAGAAGACGGAGCGGACCCCATAGTCACGAAAACCTGCTGTTCAGTGATGGTAATCGGCAACCTAAGCCCCGGGACTTAGAGTGGTGAACCACATAAGGCCCCGATGTGTTAGGCGTGGTATAGAACCGGGCGACGGTAAAGCTGCCTACCTTAAAACGCCCATCTCGATAGACTGTATTGAGGTTATAGTTGGACAAAACGAAGCGAAATTTCAACCGGTCGCCTGCTTATCGTTCATTAGATTCGCTGGATAGACAGTAACATGTCAATCTCACCTGTGTTTCACGTCTCCGAAGTACTGTTTTAATCCATGGAATAGGTGTTTCCTTTTCTAACTTTAGTACAAGCTAAAACTAACTAGTTGATTTCTGTTCTTATTGTAGCTATTCCTACTAGCCGATAGACAGTGGTAGAAGTTGACTAATTATGGTTGGTAGTGGCCAGGCGGTTTAAGTCGCTGGCTCCCATATTTCGAGTCTTACAGTCAAGTTCGAACCTTACCTCTGTCAACAGTTCACTGTCATCCCGTTCAATATCACTCATATCCTGTTGCAGTTTTATGTAATTCCTTGTTCTACCTGTTCTCATCAATGAATAGTTGGTCTTCGTAACGATTGGACTTCCCTTTTACTGCCCAGTCAATAATCTATGTTAAAACATGACGACCACATCGCTTATCGAACGATTCTTGGATGTACTGTCGTCATCCAGAATACCCGTTTTGCGTTTATCAATTTCGAATATATGTGACCTTCCTAAGGTGTGCTACTTGTGAGCGAGTTTTGAAGACACTAGTCACACCAGACTTACTTGTTCGTGCAGAGTCATGGTGAGTCATAATTCGCTACATCATACTCATTAACACATTACTCCCAATCGATAGGTAGCTGATAAAGTTAAAAATCTTTATTCACTTCCGTTTCAAAGAAGAAATTCAACCAATAGAATGTATTCAGTGAGATTTTCCCACTGTGAAATCGAGGAGTTTACCTTACGCCAAATCCAGCGTCCATTGTGTTTCCATTGCTTTTTCGTCAGTTATAACCCTAACGTTATCGAAGATATTCTAACATTTCTAAGTCATCAGTTCCTATATCTCAGTTCTATTTTTCCAATACTGAGGTATAATACAGAGTTATTCACTTTTGCACAACTGTGGCTTTCAGTGAACTTTTAAGTTCACCAAAGTTTATGGGCCGTTCAAGGATGTGTACGGGAAGATTTTACTTGTGGTGCTTAGCTTACTTTCATTCAATGAAAACAGTATATTTAAACCCCGTTTTAAGTGCATTCTCTCTTAAATGAAATGGTTTATTCCTGAAATTGTTTTTTAGCATTCTGGTACACACAACCCACATGGGGCTACATGGGTGTTGGTCAACAACCATGGAACTATTGGTATCATCCGAACGCATATGGATTCCCCGCTCCGTCCGCCCCAAGCAGTTCCGTGGAGCCAGATCCTGGTGCTGTTAATCCAGCTGGACCTAATGCAGATTGGATGCAAGGGGCACGTGCAATATTTGCTGGGCTTGGTGTCGGCGGTCAGGATCAACAAGCTGCAGAGGTTCCTGTCAACCCAGCACCACCTGAGGAAGCCCCCCAGCCACAAGCTCAACAGCAGCAACAGCAACAACAACAACAACAGGCTATGATGGTGGGCAATCCGATGATGGGCGGATTTATGGGTGCCGAGGAATTCGGCGAAGGCGCAGAAAATCTGGACATAGTGGATCGATTTTACATGCTGTTTCGATTATGTTTATTCATCGGCCTTTGTTTCGCCTACTCCTCGTTGGACAAGGCCATTATTGTCTTCTCGGTGGCCGCCTACGTATACTTGTAAGTCACGGAATATTTCTATATGAAGAGTTAAGGTTGATGCGCTTCAGGTTTGTTGTTAAAGCTTATCTAATAGAACGCGTATAAATTCGAGACAGGTGTCAGTTACTCTTCACTACAAGCAGAGGACTACGGGGACAGAACTAACGGTTTGAAGGGAGGGGAGAAAAAGGCAACTTTGAGAACCGGACTTCCCCAGGCCGAAGATCTAGTCATGCTTGAAAGGTCATAGGGAAGAAGTCAGACAAATTCTAGCCTTTTAGTCCTCCAGTGTTGTAGTTTGAGTTCAGCCACCATATCATGCGGTAAAAATTATAGGAATGGGAGGAGGCTGATCGTTGCAAGTAAATCACAGCCTTACGGTCGGAATCTCCGTGGAACTAAAGGTTTTGGTTCATAAACAATCGGTTAGGCTTCCTTACAGTGTCCATCCACCAAACTTCACTAAACACAAACCAAAAAGAATGCCATATTGCGTCGCTCCTCTCAGTGATAATACGGACTACGCTGGGCGAGTTAATATAGGTGGGGTTCCGTTCGGGCATCTCCGTCTTTGTTTGATGTCTTTGCCCTTCCTTGCTACCTACAGAACCCCCAAGTGGATTCTTTGTCACTTGCCGAAGGTTCTTGCTACTGATTAAATTGTGGATTCGCAGCAAGAAAATGAATAGCTCTTCGATCTGCTTACGGCACTCATTTAACTGAAACGCAGCTCTGATGTAATTG